ATGGACAAGAATCTATTCGTTTTCATTATAAATAAAAAAGTACCAGTATATTCAAAAACTAACAATATTCGTAAAAATTGATACGATTTTCTACATGACCAACATTTTCGACATAACGGTAATTTTCAATTAAAAGTTTAAGCTTTTAAGTTAAAGCTCTCTGGACATTTTCAAATAACAATTTCTTTATGTTAATAATATTTTATTATCTTGTGAGAGTGGAATTTCTATAGTCATTATATAAAAAATTCTTATATTAAAAAAAATTCAAAAACAGTTAAATCTTTAATTCAATATACTACCTATTCGTTTCTAGGTTTCTCTTTCTTATTGCAAGAATACTATGTTCTCATTAAAATCTGCTAGTTTTAATTTATAAGTAATTATTTGAACTCAATAAAATCAGATTAGATTTCTTTGGACTACTTGGTTGTATGTTCTAATTGTTTCAAAAAATATAATGTAAAATATATCTTTATAGGAATACATTTTATTTATAAGAATATAGTATTGTCTAATTTCAGCATATAAACAAGAGGTAATATTAATTCAAGAATAGAATTTCAAAACGTAGTAATTACAATTGTAATAATTCATAACAGCAAACATGGCATAAATGATTGGATAGTATCAATCTCTTGAGATAGAATTTAAAATTTAACAAAAAAATTTAAAATAAGGTTGATTGGTTGCTTTGATGTTATAGACGCAAACCAGCCAGGTCATCAGCGTCCGATCAACCAAATAATACAACTTTTAAAATATTTAGCTGGTAAGTTTAAAAACTAAAAAGAAAAAAAATAGTTTTTTGAAAATAAAAATAACATTTAAATAAACATTTTTATTTTATTTTTTATCAAGTGTTTCTTATTTGTTAGTTTATTTATAGTTTCTTGCGGCAAAAGTTAATAATATGTTCTCGATTGAAATTTAATTCTCACGTCTTAGCAAAGAATCTTGTCCATTCTTTCTCGTAAATCGATTCTGGTGTACTGGCCATTAAACTTCATACGTAGGTCTTTTTTACTTAACTATCCTCAGTAACTTTTAGTAACAGTTACTTTTAGTAAAAAAAAAAAAAAAAGGTATCATTTAGTAATCATATGTTATGAGAGAATAAAATTGATTTAACACAAAATAGATTTTTTTAAACTTCTTTTTTACTGAGTCTGCTGTCGGTAAAATACTAATAGTGGCTTGATCGGCGTAAGGGAAAGGAGTGCCCAACGGTATCCCTTCTTAACTTGAATTTTGTATATTTTTAGGTGAAGAAATCCCTCATTCAGCTTCTTTTGAGCCTCCGAAGGGTGTTTTCGGGCACGTTAATCGTGGTCATGTCTTAGTGTGTTCGTATGTCCACGTAAGTTATTGTGAAATTTTTTGTAGTTTGTCCGTATATGGTCGTTAACTGTTGGCATGTTTTGATCTTTATGCAAAGTAATGTTTGTAACGTACCATTGAGCTTTAGTTATAGTCCTAATAGTTTTTTACTGAAAGATTGTATTTTTCGTATGTGGGTCGTTTTGGCTGTTTCCGAATATTTGAGAAGCGTAGGTCCATATAGGCTTTAGTAGATAAATGTAGGTGTTCAGTTTCTGTTTTCATTTTAATTTTGAACGTCCTGAAAGAAGTTAGTATAATAGTCTTAGTCTGAGGTTTAACATTTACAAAATAGATTAACCTTGAGAATAACAAATATTCTAAGTATATAACAATATTAATTTTCCAAAAGTTTCTCATTGCCTGTAATATTTTGTCAAAGAAAACTAAACCTTCAAATATGCTTCTCCAAACAAACCACAAATATATGAGTCAAGTAAAGCGTCTTCATAATTTTAATAAGTTCATTTTTTTTTTAATTTCATGCTTAATTTAAGAAAAACTTAAAAGCACTAGAAACCCGTATAGCCCACCTCGACGATTACGTAGGCGGTGGCCAAGAGACCTGCTGAACTGAACTCTTTCCTGGATTGTGATGGGACGCTGTGAAGCTGCCAAAAAATTTGGTCATTGCAAAGAAATTTGCAGATCGCAAATTTAATTTTTATGTACAATTTTATGTTATGATTTAATAAATAAATAATTTCATGCTCACAATAAACAATATGTTTAGGATTCAGGTTAATAACCTCTTTAGTACAATTGTAATAATTTATTAAATCATGTGTGTTTGACAAATCTGTTACAGTTCTAAATATGTGACAAAAAGTAACTGGCGATACTTGAGTTTATGTTCCTCCAGCGAAAATTATAGGTACTGTGGGACCTAATGTGTTGTTGAAGGGAGTTAGTCGACTGTTCTACATATCATGGGTGATAAATATTCAGGACGGAGTCTTCTTTTAAAAAAAAAAATTTAATTTTTTATTTATACCAACGTTTCAACCCAAACATGTGGGTCATATTCAGGGCGTGGTTTGAGCACTGAGGGTACTCAGTACTTGAAACGTTGGCATAAATAAAAAAATTAATTTATTTTTTAAACAGACTGCGTCCTGAATATTTATCACCCATTATAGCTACCACACATTAGAACTGTACAAATTTTATAAAATACCTTCATCCACTGAGGTCGACAAGGGGTGAAACCCGGAACCAAGACGAAAGAACAATGCCAATAGTAAATTGATTGAAATCTTATTGTAAGAGATAGCATCGGCCATTAAAACGTCCATTAGGAGGCAGTCCTAGTTTTCATTGTTTAATTATTCTCCAGCTGAGAGGGAAAGTCCGAGAGAGTTTCCTCTTCCAAGACTGATTCTAATTCCTTCACCGGAAGCTTTTCATCTTTCCACCATTTCCCAGCCATTAGAAGAGTCAATCGCTTCTGTAGAAATATAGTTAACTAATCGAATAAAGAATAAGAGAAATGATATGTATTGTGCGATAATGTCTTTGATCCTAATTTATTGAGGTTTATTCTCAGTTCTTGTAACTATCAATAAGCAAACTTCACGTACATTACTTTTCGAAAACAAGATTTTAAATTTTAATATATTTAATTCTATACCTTCGTTTATAATATATAAAGTACAATATTATAAATAACCATAGCCCAGTTCTGCTTTAGCTAAATTCAAACTTTTCTCCTAAATCCTCAGCTCCTAAATTGATTACTGGACGAGTAGACTGGGACAAAGTTCGCAATGATCTGGAAGATAAACTGGAATTAAAAATCCCGCTTAAGGCAAAGTAAGATATTCATAAAGCCATAGAAAAACTAACCGTATCAATGACAGCCAGTATAAATGTTAACACGTCAGTAAATAAAAGCAATAATTCACAACATATTAACTTGCCGCAACATATTCGAGTCTTATTAATAGTCCGTGGTACATACCTCTTTTTATCGAATTATTAACATCGGCCCGAAACTTCGTAAATAGTTCATCTTACCGTAACCTACAACTATTTAACTTGCGAAATCTCTTGGAATTGGTGCATTTTCAATCTCAAGAGGGACAAACTTTGTCTATTTTATTAGGTAGTAAAAACATGTAAATACACATTTCCTTTCTACTTGGATCGTAAGACAATTTGATCACAAAATCGATGACAAAAGTGGCCTACAAAAATATTGGGCCGCTTGTCCTATATTACCTCGTTATTTTGAAAATTTGGGGTTGTGGGTCACTCCAAACGACTCAATATTTTTTAAAGACCACCTTTTTTCTGGATTTTGTGATCAAATTATCTTACAATCCAAGAATGAAGCAAATGTGTATTTAAGGATTTCAGTTCCTAATTAAATAGACAAAGTTTGCCCCCCTCCAGATTGAAAACGCCCTAATTTCCAGAGTTTTCGTAAATAAAATAGTTGTAGGTTATGGTGAGACGAAACTATTGACAAAGTTTCAGGCGTATGTTAATAATTTGATAAAAAGGGCTCTGTATCACGGACTATAAGGAAAAACCGCAGAGCAAGATCGAAGTGGCACAGAACTAGATGCCCTACAGATAAAACAGACTACACCGAATTGACTAACAAACTAAAAGCAGAAAATTTAAAACTCAAAAATTATTTAATCTAGCTGAAAATCTTACAACCACTGACAAATCACTGTGAACGAACACCAAAAAACTTTTCAAGTTGTAAAGACTTTAATCACACAATACTTACTGAACCCCAAACCTGGTCCAAATCCGTCAAAGAAAAAATATTCGGTCAACATCTCTTCCAAAGCATTAACCCATATCCCGATATCCTTAATTCAAATAACATCGAATGTATTGAAGCAGAACTGGATGCTCCTCTGCAAATGTTCCTTCCACCTAAAAAAAATAAAAATATCTGGAAATAAAATATGAATATTAATAAAAATTTCTTATAGTCTTGCCAGTGTTCTTCTATATATCCTCAGGTAGCCATACTCTCGCGAAGTTTTCCTCTTTTTCGGCTTTCGATCGGGCGATAATCGAAGATTCCTTTGTCTCCTCCGCTCATATGGCATTCATCATGGTCGCTCATGGGCATACCATTTCATCCTTATTCGTTTAAGTATTCTTCTATTTATTACCTGATGGTAATATTTAGAATATGCCGAAGTTTATAAATGGCATAATGGCGTGTCCAAAAGTCAATGTCCATTACTAATACCTTTGTTATCTTCTGTTTGGAATTACAAAGATTTCTGGATATCGGTGTTTTTTTTTTGTTTTTTTTTTTTTTTTTTTAGTTTGTCTGTTTACTCCACAGTATAGAATTTAGATTTGGCATTATTTTCCTACCTTTAACGATTCTGCCCAACATATCTTTGTTGAAGCAAACTCTAAATATGAAGCTCTTGTACCAGCTTAAAATTTGAAAAAGAAACGTATTTTTTATTTCGGAAACATTTATTTGGATTAAAGATTTTTAAATATATTAGACAATTGATTTGTACTTTGCTTTTCTTTGCACTGCAAACTTATTTCCTAAAATACTCCTACAGTTTATAAATAAATATATTACTTTTTAAATGTATTTATAAAATTACTAATTTATTTTATTTATTATTTAGATTGGCCTATGGGGATGTGACCGATGACATCGGGCGTGCGAGGGAGCCTACGAGAACATGAACACTCCCCGCAATCTACATCTACTCCTTTTGTGTATTGCCGCCGCAGCGGGTGAGTAAATAATTATTATTTATTTATCTAATAATGTATTTATAAAATAAATCCACAATCAGATTCTGTATATAATAGTCCGTGGTACAGACACCTTTTTGTCAATTTATTAATATCCGTCTAAAATCTCGTGAATAGCTTCATCTCATCGTAGGCTACTATTTCTTTATTTGCGGAAATTTCCGGAATTGGTGGGCATTCAATCTGGAGATCGCCAAACATTTTCTATTTAATTAGGTGCTGAGAACTTATTGAATGCCGATCTGCTTTCCACTTGAATCGTTAGATAATTTGATTACAAAAAAGAATAAAAAACGTGACCTACAAAATTTATTTAGAAGTTTAGTGTGACCTCCGCTTCCAACATGTCGTAATAATGACGTTATATAAACGTTTTTTTCGATTTTGTGATCAAATTATCTTACGATTCGAGTGGAAAGCAAATGGGAATGTATGAGTATTTAGATATAGATAAATTAATTTAATGAGAAACCGCTCGATTTCTGAGAATTTTTGAAGAAAAACAAATTTAGATTACAATAAGCCACAGGTGGATCTACGGGGTAGAGAAATTTTCAGACTGAAGCCCCCTCCCCCCCCTCCCCTCACCACTCAAAATGGTAAAATATAACCACGTTTTATCAAAAAACTTATCTCCAAAAGTATTATTGTTCGTCTAATTACATTTAATAGGACTTCAAGAATAACTTAAACACCATTTTAAATAAGTAGTTAATTTCTTTCTTTCTTCCGAAGTAATTATCCTAAAATATATATTCAAAAAAAAACTTTCGGGCTGAAGCCCATGCCCCCCGAAACTAAATCCTGGATCGGTTAGTGCAATAAGGTGGAGCCATTTACGGAATCTTAGACGGATGTTAATAATTTGATATAAATTGGTCTGTACCACTAACAATAATATCCATCCTGAAGGACATTAGAGGTTTTTATTTAATAATATATAGTAATCATATTAATAAACAGAATGGAATACAGTCTGACTCCAAGCAATAAAAATTATTACTAGAATATACAAAAATAATGAAATATTACTTTTTACAATAGCGTTTAGTCGAACATTGTGAAGGCTGCAAGAGATATTAAGTAGTACGTAATTTTAGATATTAAGTAAACAAATGAAAAGCAACAGAAAAAAGTTTGTAAATACCAAGAACGAACTTTTGAAGAAATATTATATATTACTTGGACAAATAAAATAAACACATTACTAGCAATGTATAATATATGTAATAGTATAGTATTACTAGTAATGTTTTATAGGGTATATAAGCTATAAAATAATACGATTTGAGTGATTGCTCGACGACCAAACAAACTCAACTATGATTTAATTTAATGGTCAAGAGTAACCCGGACATTTTTAATCAATACCTTGATCTAATTGATCCTTCATTCAACCTTTTATTATTCTTAGTAACAAATTTCTAAACAAAATAAAATATTTCTTGAATATTTCACAGAATTTTTATTATTAGTTACCTCATTATGAAGCTCTTCAAACCTCCAGGTTGTAAAGTCACTTTAGTTTATCTACAAAATATCAGCTAAAAAAAGTAATATCTAATTATAGTTAAGTATTGAATATAAAAAAAAATCAAAAAATAAAAATATGAATCCATTTTGCGCCTTCATTCTTTCAATAGACGAACCTGAATGACAGCAATGTATTCTTGACAATCTCCACTTTTCTGGTTAAAATAGGTTTGGTTGTAGTTCTAGAACAACACTTTTTCCTGAGATGCCAGAAAATTGTGAGGTAGGAGGTAGCTGATTAAATAAATAAACCTGTGCCTGAATGGTAATTGAAATTCAATGGCGCAAATAAAACAGATATCAAACCGCATTTTCTATCCTTCCTTGAACCGGTTCACCAATAATCTCTGAACCCTTCGATGCAAAGGATATTATAATAATGTCTATTACGGTGGCCACAATCGGTTGACACTTGTCCCTCGAACATAGACCATTCCCTCACCGACCCCGAGTGGGCAGAGGCCGCCCAGGAACAGCCGAGTACCTATCAACGGTGAAAGGCTATCTGTCCCGGCGGGGTCCAGGGGATCAAGGCTTCCCGGGAGGCTAACTGTACCAAGGGTTCGCTATCTGCGCTCGGCTATCGTTGGCATACCACCGCTCCCATAGCCACTTCCAGTCATTAATAGCGGTTCTTGTAGCAGCCCCAAGGTCCATCCTCTGTGTGTCAGCCTGTTCTCTTTACCCTTTTCCCAAGTATAGTTGCAAGGAAGATAAAAAACAACAACTTAATTGTACAAGTTGCAAGCCTGGAATATCGAACCTGCTTTACTTATCACAATGGTAAGATTAGTATACCTGAATGAGTCTTTCACGTTACATATCTGTCCTTCTTATATATAATATATATATAAAAAAAATTATAATATATATATAAGAGATCTTTCTTCTCTCTTTCAAAGGTACTGAAATCCAGAAAAATCTCTAGAAATCTAAAAATAAGGGTTCATAACGCTGTGAATAAGCCAGTTCTGCTGTACGGTTATAAAACCTCTGCTCTAACCAGCACACTAGAAGCCAGAATTGAGGGATTCGAAAGAAAAGTTTTCTATAAAATAACAGGACCTATATAGGACCAAAACCTTGAGACATGGAGGAGAAGGAACAATAAAGAACTACTGAAAGAAACGGGTCAGTCAATATCTCACGATATGAAGGCAAGGAGGTTAAGATGGGCGGGGCATTTAGCTTGTAGCAATCCATCAGGAAGCCTAAAAACCAGATAGATAGGATAAAACAATACACGGCTGAGCTTCATGCCGCAAACTGGAAAGCAGGTGGGCGGGGTAGCCGAATGGGCTAAAGCGTGTGCACTACACCGCCGTTGCCTGGCAACCTGACATATGAATTATAAAGATATAAAAATAGTCACGAGTTCGCGTCCCGGTGCCGAGGGAGTCTTTTAAATCCCCGCTCACACTCCCTGGCCCGGGAAAATCCCGTATAGCCTTAACGGCGAGGAAGGGAAGGACCAAAAAAAAAAAAAAAAAAAAAAAAAAAAAAAAAAAAAAAAAAAAAAAAAAAAAAACTGGAAAGCAGTAGCCCAATATAGACAGAGGTGGAGCAGGTTGGTTCAGGCGGCCAAAGATCTACAGTCTGTAGAGTCAACAGAAGAAAAAAAAATTATATATATATATATATATATATATATACGGTGTTCAGTAAGCAGAGGGAAATTTTGAGAGAGTGATAGCAGATCTAAATACCTACAATAAAGTTCATATAAACAATGCGTCACTTTTCAGTAAAAAAGTAGGAAATCCAAATTGGTTTTTTTTTAAAGAAAGTCGTGTTTTTTGTTGAACAGGAAGCGATAACTAAATAAATATTTAATTTAAGTAATTAACAATAAATTAGACAACATTTACAAGACTTTGTCAGTATTAAAATCATTTACTGAGGACACTTGAGCGGCTAAACTACACAAAAGTTGAGCTTTTACAAAATCATAAATTATTCGCAAATTTATTTGTATCTTCATCCAACTATACTACAGTTACCTCAGTTTTATATAAACTACCATCTTTAATAAGGTTTAAGTTTATATTAATTAAATTTAGTTTTATTAAGCAAAATTTATCTCAAGTTGTGTACATAATTATGTTTTTTTCTATTCAGTCTCCTAAAACTACCCGTGTTTTCATAAAAATTGTTACAATTAACTATTACAAAGCTTCTATTTCTCGTTTTCCCTGATCTTGGATGTATTGTAACAAAAAACATTGCTTAAATAAATATTTTATTTATACAGATAATAAAATTTAAAATAACGATTTTTAAAATATTTTTTTATGTGAGTTGGTTATGAAATTGTGTTTTTCTTCTAGATCTCTGTCATATTAGTTGATCCGTATTTATAAGTGACAATCTTAATATTTCTAGCCCGAATATTTACGTTTTTATGAAAATAATTGAAGCAATGACTACTAGATTTCTTTATTTTAAACGTCAATATTAGGAATAATAACATTATGTTTGTCACTGATGAATGCGGATCAATTCATATGACAGAGAATTTGAGATTAAGCAAAGAATATTTTTAAAAACCCATAACTTGGATTTCCTACTTTACTGATGTTTGTATGAACTTTTTTGTATGTCTTTAATGACTGCTATCACTCCTTTCAAATATATATATATATATATATAAATATATTGGAGCTTGAACTTACTTTACCTGGTACAAAATTCAGGCAATTTATTTACAACTATTATTTCAAGAAAAATAAACCAATTACATAAACCATATTTAGAAAAAATATATTCAGAGCTTTATAAATTAAGTACATATTCTAAAGTATGCAGAATTTAGTTAACCTGCGAAGAGGAAAGGCATATGTGTGCGTGGTTCTGTAATATACGAAGCAACCATTTCAATATTCCTTGCGTTATTGTTCTATTAAAGATAATACCTCATAACTACAGATTAGTTTAAACTCACTCGCGAGTGGTTGCCAATCATTAATGATGTACACCTGGTTGCGGTCCACTAGCTATCTCTTCCTATAGCGTGTATCAATTAAATGAAGGCAACCTTCTGCACTTAATACTTGTCATATGAACAATAAATTATATAAACTATGAATAGAATTTTCTGTTGTCTTAAAATTAATACATTAAAACTTACTTATCTAAGTTACATTATAACTTATCTAAGTTACAATATTTTAGTAATATGGTCCATCTCCCAGAAGGACATCGGGTATCAAAATTTGTTATATTGCCATATCATAACAGGTATTGTCATACTCCACTAATTAAGTATTCAAAAGAAATATCACAATAAAACATCAAACTTTATCTATATTCAATATTAGTTAACAGCTTCCTTAAAAAAAAAAAAAAAAAGAAATCGAATTTTGTCAGTTTTACGCTCATCGTTTGTTTACTTTTTATTCCAAATTAAATCACAACGTGGGATCAATTAATTTATTTTGGGATATTTT